TGTCTGCAGTTTGAACTGGGACAGGACAGGGAGCATGTCTGCAGTTTGAACTGGGACAGGACAGTGACCATGTCTGCAGTTTGAACTGGGACAGGACAGGGAGCATGTCTGCAGTTTGAACTGGGACAGGACAGTGAGCATGTCTGCAGTTTGAACTGGGACAGGACAGGGAGCATGTCTGCAGTTTGAACTGGGACAGGGCAGGGAGCATGTCTGCAGTTTGAACTGCACCACCCTCAGCAAGGGACACTCACAGAGCTGGCAAGTCCCTCAGGAACAACAGGAGGCTTTGGGGGAAAGGATCCTAAAGAGATGCTGGAACCCAGACCTGTCACCCTGTTTCTGGGGCACACAGCAGATACCAGAAGGATGGTGCTTGAGAGGAAAGCCTTCCTTCCTTCACTGTGGAAGGAATTCTCCCCTGTGAGGGTGGGGAGGCCCTGGCACAGGTTGCCCAGAGGAGCTGTGGCTGCCTCAGCCCTGGAAGTGTCCAAGGCCAGGTTGGATGGGGCAGGTTGGAGCAAGCTGGGCTGGTGGAAGGTGTCCCTGCCCATGGCAGGGGATGGAATGAGATGATCTTCCAACCCAAACCATTCTGGGATTCTATGATTTCTATGGATGTGTTTTAAATGGTTGGGAAAAGGTCAAGGTGGTGCAATTCTAACTCAGTAAGACAGCTGGCAAGCAGTGGGCCTGTTTGAGGGAAGGACTGAATCTGAGACACCACTAAGTTACAACCATTCTAAACACATGACTCAAAACCAGCAGGTACATTCTTGTGAAGCATGTCAGGGAGGGCACTCACATCTGACCGGTCCTGTTAGCACAGCCTTGGCACAGTAACCACACTAAATCCCTCACATTACAGGAACTGTATGGAACCTGCTCCCTTCCCTATGTATTGTCCCCTCACATTCAGCTCTGAGCCTCACAAACCGAAGCTGAGACACAGGGGGTGAACAGCTCCCCCCTGGATTTGCACCACACTTTCCTGGAGCCCTCAGAGCCAGATGGTCAACACTGAGCTGCACTGGAGGTCAAGGGATCCCAGCCGGGGTTTAAACAACCACAGAAACTCTGACACCTGCCCCCAGCAGCTCCCATCGCTGCAGGTGTCTAAACAGTCACATTGGCACCTGCCCAGACCTCGGCAAACACAAGGAACGGGGACTGTTCCCGTCTCCGAGGGAATCGTGCTCCCTCAGGGCTCTCTCTGGCTCCAGTTACACCAGCAATCAGGAATAGAATTTGGCCCTCACTTTTGCGTCTGAAATGCCATCCCAAGGTGCAAGTGGCATCCTGAAGTGATTGTTCTGTACCTCTCACAGCTGTGCCAGCTTGCAATCGTAACTGGAGTAAAATAGTATTGCCGTTAAAGAAAGCACCCCAAGGTGCCAATTTAACTCACTCACTTTTAGAGTGAAGCCCAGCTTCAGAAGGAGCTATGTTTTTTTCTTGTGCAGCCATGAATAAATGTAACTGAACCACATTTATCAGCTTCAGGTTTTGTCAATAATTACTCGTAGCTCTCACAGAATATGTGCCTTTTATTTTACTATTACGATTTTCTTAATGACACCTCAGTTATGCACAGAAGCTAGAAGAAGCATTTAGTAAGCTTTTTTTCAATTCCCATAAAGTCCTAGGGAGTCTCTAAAATGAAAATCTTTAGAAGAATAAATTAAATTTACAGCAGAACGGCAACTTACATTAATCAAATTATCATTAAATCATCAAGATTCTCTCTCCCAGATTGTTCAATAAACTTGGTTTCCTGTTTTTCCTGCCTCTGTTTTGTCTGTAGCTCTTATAACCCTTCAAGTATTTCCTAAATTGGCACTTCAGTCCTATCTGTCAATTCTTCTGCGTAAGAGACTGCTTTCAATGCCAGTGTAAATGCAGAAGTCAGAAAACATGGACAGACTTGCCTGGAAGACACATTCTTTCCGTAATAAAGATCAATCCAACACTTCTACAATTACCAAGGTTAAATTGCTTTTCAATCCACTTGAACAGAGGGGAGAAAAGAACAGCATTTTAAATACAAAGTCCTCTGTGAAGCTGCCCCTCCAACCACCAATCACGAATTGTGAGCTCCACTAATTAAGTGTAACAAGTGCATGTAACAGCAAAAATAACACAAACTATCATTGATATAAAAAATAGGAATGACACAACCATATGAGAGATGCAGTAGAACCAAAATCTTACTGTGCAAGTGATTTTAACATTTAACTTCATTATTTCATCTGGTAGATTATCAAATAGAAATTAGTATCCTATCAACTGTCAACAGAATTAAGAAATATGCTTATTAACTAAAAGGTACTATTTTCTATAGTCAAACACATTTCATAGAGTCACAGAATGGTTGGGGTTGGGAGGGACCTTAAAGCCCATCTCATTCCACTCCTGCCATGGGCAGGGACACCTTCCACTGTCCCAGGTTGCTCCAAGCCCTGTCCAACCTGGCCTTGGACACTTCCAGGGCTGGGGCAGCCACAGCTCCTCTGGGCAACCTGTGCCAGGGCCTCCCCACTCTCACAGGGAAGGATTTCTTCCCAATATTCAACCCAAATTTCCCCTTTCAGTTTGAACCCACTGTGAACCCATGAACCCATTGAAATGTGCCCCTTTTGAAAAGGAACACAGAAAGGACTGTCAAGAGAACGTGTTGTTACACAGAGTGCTGTCTGTTTTCAGATGGAACCGAAACGTGGAATCATGAAGATGTAAGCTGTATTTGAGTATATGACACATAACTATGTACCTGCATTCTCTGGACTCGGATATCGGTGGCAGAGAAGCACACATTCTGTTTTTGTTTGCCCATTCAACACCCTTGTCACAGCATTCTTCCACTGACAGCTCTGCAGAAAGAAAGAAAACCACAAGTCTATTTAATACAACCTTGCATCTCCAACTGAAAACCCCCAAGCAAACACAAGGAAGTGAGTTTGACCCCCCCCAAGAACAGGGCACCCAAACCCAAGGCAGACATGGCCAAACAAGGCCCCTGGCAGCACCTTGCAATAAGCCCAGTGCTGGGGGTTTGCCTTCCTTGGGGAAGCAAACCTCAGTTTCCCTTAACCTTCCACACAAAGACACAGTCTGGGCACTGGTACTCTGGCAGAAAGCAGCTCAGAATGCTCCTGCACAACTACAGGATCTGTTGGATTGCAATCCATTACTATCAAATGTGGCAGTAGCAACAAGCAACCTTTTAAAATCCCAAAGAATACAGGATAAATCAAACAAGTGATATCAGAAACACCTGAATGTCATTACAAGTAAATTTGTGAAACTGGTTTCACCTGAGGTAATTATCCAAGTAATCTGCTTTACTCAAAAATATGCCTGTAAATGCCAAAGTATTGTAGAGAGGGACAAAAAGGTATATGGTATTTTGAAAAATTAATACCAACTTACACCAAAGCTGAACCTAAGGGGAAAAGCACATTGAAGACAATTATTTCTGTAGAGTGTATTCTTGCAAGTCTTTAATTTAATAAAACTGAATACTGTAAATGAACTGACAAGCACTACAGGTTTGCTTCATATTCGAAGTGCAAAAGTTCAGTGCACAGCAGGTGTATCAGAACTTGGAATAAAACAGGAGTCACATTTTCCTATTAATTATCTTGTAGTCTGAACACCGAACAGCTCCCTGTGTAACAAATACACAATGTGTGTAAAGAACCCCTCTGATTATCCAGAGGGACAGCTTTCTAATGGTTTCTCTGTGTTTCATAAGTGTTTTGGCTGATGGCCCTGCCAGGCTGCTCCCGGGAGTGCTGAGGGAGTGAGGGATGACAGGGCCAGGCCACGCCCGGGTACCTCAGGGAGCTCACGGAGAACCAGAGAAGTTCCTGGAGAATGGGAGACAACAAAGGTCTCCCTGACTTCAAGGACAAGAGAGGAGATCTGGGAGACTACAGGCTGGTCAACCTCTTAGAGAATCATTAGGGTTGGAACAGCCCTCCCAGCCCATGGATCCCCCCTGTGCTCCATGCCCACCTTGTCCCCCAGCCCAGAGCACTGAGTGCCACGGCCAGGCCTTCCTGGGACACCTCCAGGGATGGGCACTCCAAACCTCCCTGGGCAGCCCCTGCCAGTGCCTGGCCACCCCTTCCAGGGAGAAATTCCTCCTGATGTCCCACCTGATCTCCCCTGGCACAGCTGGAGGCCGTTCCCTCTCCTCCTGTCCCTTGTTCCCTGGGAGCAGAGCCCGACCCCCCTGGTTTCCCCCTCCTGTCAGGGAGTTGAAGATCCTTGCCCAAATTACCCACTAGGCTGGTGGCAGGACAGGGAGTGCACAGCAGGTCATTCCCGTGCCTCCCGTGATTGTCTCATCCTTAGTTCTGGTCCAAGCACATCCGAAGGGAGCACATTTCATCAGGCAGCCACATCATATTCAAGACTATCCATCCTCCCAAACGACTTCCTGCAGAGTCTCCTAAGGACAAACACCTGTCTCCTCTGGCTCTCCCTACACCAGTTAGGAAGCCATCGTTCCCAGGTGCTCCTGATGTGGGGGGGGTTCCAGCCCCCTCCCATCTGTCCACATACTCACCTCCTAAGTAGTTCCAGTTATCAAAATAAGCGGAAATAATTAAACTGTTCATGATCACACTAACTTTGACACACATCAGAGTTTGCTCAGCTGGCAGGTGTTCAGATGTGGGGAAGGAAAAAGCAGCTGAAAGCAAGAAGAGAAGGTAATTCCCTCCAGTAACTCAGGGTTTTTTTGCAGGGAACAACTTGTATTCTCAACTTAGTGATTATAATCCAAGGATTCAAAGCAAAAAGGAAGAGGTTAAATGAGATTTTAAGATGCATCATTCATCTTGAGGTAGGTACTCTTTTGTACAGTCAATTGTACAGGACAAAGCTCTGGAGTCCTGCACAGAATTCTGGCTTTAAGAAAGATTACATCAAAGTGGAAAATGAGTAAAGAAAGATCAGGAGGATGGTCAGGGGAATCAAAGCCCTGTTATATGAGGAGAAACTGGGAGAAACAGACCAACCTGTGAAAGGATGTGGTTCCTGTCAACAAATACTACAGCAGTAAACAATCTGAATCATGAAATCCAGAAAAACAAAGGTTTTAGTAAGAAAATCATTAAATGGAATTACATTAAGTGTTAGTTTATAACAGAGTTCTGTACTCTATGACCCAGGTCACCCTTCCACTCTTACTTACATACCCAAAGTAATGGTCAAAATTCTGTCATTACTAAGTCAAGGCAATATTTCTCCTGAATCCCAGAGTGTGTCCAGAATCCATGCCAGTGTCTGAAAGCTAAATGCAGTTTACAAAGCTACAGAGAAAATCAGTCTGGTAAACAACCATCTGCCCGTGGTGAAAGCCACGCACTTGTGTCTGAGCTCTTCTCTGGGAATAGGGACTCTGTCTGGGGCTCTCTGGCTGACAAACATCATATGCATCAAATTTCATACAATGGGTTGCAAATAACCATGTTTTTAGTGCTGCTGCCTGCAATCAATCTTAACTGTGTTGAAAAATGATACACATTTAACTGCAGTGCAGAGCTGGCTGCAGGTTTTTGCAGGGCTTTGTAAAAAATGGTCTTTGGCCAAGTTCCTCTCCAGAAGGACAATCCCTGGCTCTGGACACCAGTTCTTCTCTCCAAGCTCTGGCAACACACCTCTACTCCAGCGAAATAACTCAAGAATTCAAAGCAGGCCAAGCTAAGCAAGCTTGTCTGTAGGAGTGCATCCAGACAAAGGAGATCACGGAGAGTTTGCTGAAGGAGAACTGTGGTCCAGGCTCATTGTTTTGGTGACATCACAATTCATATCCTCCAAAGGTCCTGCCAAAAATCTCCTGAGAATAGAGGGAAGTGAAAAACAAGCAGTAAAAAAGGACTCCACCCTCAAGTCCATTCTTCTAAAACATAGCAATTAAACAGTGAAAAACATTTTCTCTTGGCTTTGCAGTTGCTCTAAAAATTGCAACTCGTGGGCAAATCCTTACCCTTTCAAATCTCAGAAAGTGTGTGAACCAGAAGTGATTCTGACCATCTGGGCACTCAGGGTTGTTAATGAGTATTTAGGAACAGGACCCTTATCCTCTCCTGGCTGCATTCTTCCAGCCTTGTGGACTCCACTGCACACATGTGCATATTCATGTCGCTCCCAGTTGGAAACCTTTGGGCAAGCAGTTCATACTGGGGCACCTGTGCCTCCTTACACCCTCTTCAGGGGACCAGCACCATGGGGGACTACAGACTGCTCCTTCAGGCTGTGCAAAGGATGGGGCAGTGGCAGGCAGATGGTAGAACTGCTCTGGTTACGACATCTCACTTTCTGAACAGAAAATAATGGCTGTTTTTCCTCTGGCTGTGACCCTGTGTCTCAGTGCAGCTGATGGCTCGTGGCACCCCTCACAGCTGGAGCAGGAATGACAAGTCTGCTCTTCTGAACCTGGTGCTCCTCCAAGGATTCTGCCAAGTGCACAACGTTTCATGCAAATCAGCCAGAGACCTCCCAGGCATCGGAGAGAGAAAGCCCTTCTGGGAAAGGCTGGGGACACTGTGCTCAGCTGCAATGTGCCCTTTTATTTGGAGGGAGAAACCCTACAAGGAAGTCGTGACACGCAGGAATACACTGGCTGGTCCATTCTGTAAATTTGAGAAGCACTTGTTCAGCTTTCTGGTTCCACAAGGCAGAAAAGCATGATAACCCAGAGCTCTGGTTAGATGACAGCATGTTGACTTCCTTTTCTAGATACACTAATTTTGCATGCTAAAAGACTAGTTGAGAAAACCCAAGTTTATTTTGGATAAAATCCAACACAGCTTTATCACCACTTTGTCCCTTTACCAAATCATGTGCAGCAGGGCATCCAAAAGAACTCGAGCTGTGCTGTGTGGTGCCAGTGAGGATGCCTATCCTGATGGGAATGTGGTGGTGTGTGTTGGATTCCCAGGGAGATTTCAGGAGTCTCAGGAAGAGGACAGCAGAAACACAGCTGGAACTCAGCTCTCTAATTTCACAAAAGCTGTCATGAAGAAAAGCTATCAGATAAGACATGATTAAGGCCACAGCTATTCAAACATTTTGTGTGCATGATGCATTCATGGGCTGGCTCTGAACTATGCACACAGGCACGATGTGTAAGAGCATATGGTTGCTTTAAAATAAGATAGTTTGCTAATCTTAACAGGATTGCCATACTGTGTGGGAGTTCAAAGCAAGAAATGTGGTTAATATCTGCATAACCTTAGACTTCTATGATGTAATAATTGCTTATTCAGCTGCTGCAGTGAATATTTTCTGCAAAAGGAAGATAAGCTTAAGAATGTTACCCAAAGCATGACTCCTGGAATGAGAAACCCTGAATTGCTTCTGGGAATTGTGCAAAAAATAAGCAGAAGTAAAAAGGACTGGATAAATTTCATGGCAGTAGCATTCCAGTTAGATGAAAAAGGGACAGATTTTTTAGGTAACAATGTACAGTAGCAGCTATTCTTTACAGTTGCCCCTGATGGAAAGGTCTGTGCACAGTCCAGGACTGGATAGCTGTTCATTACTCAGTGCTGATCCATGGAACAGTTACCAGTCTGATGCTGGTACCAAACCAGAGCTACACCTGGGCCTAGATGGGCTCACCAAGGTAGTGCCAGGAAAGTTGGCCAGTTCTTCAGGGCAGTCACTGATGTGACCCTCACCCCCATCAGCTTCCCAGCCCACATAACCAGCTGTGGTTGGGTATGGGTTTGGAACTGAGTCCAGGTCAAGGGGGCAAAGTCACTCCTCCTTACTGAGGTGTTTTCAATCTTCTGAGCACATTGATCGATTCAGTTTGTAAGATGTGGTTCAGAGCTTGTCCTTTGCTCAGTTCCCT